AATACTAAATTCAGTTACTTGCATCACTTCTAGTAAGGCTCGCTCTCCATGTGGATTTACTCAGACTTATCTTTGTGTAAAATTTATGACTGGAATCCTTTTCTCAGTCATACTCATTAGACTTTCTGATTTTTCCAGTTTGTTGTTGTCATGGAAAGCATCCTGGGCTCATACAAATTCAATGCTCCATTTACTGTCTGGCCCTTGGTGATACTTTAGGTCACCTTCTTCATTTTTCATGGGTGTTAAGCTTTACAAATGTGAGACTCACGTTTCGTCCCACAAGGGTTGGTCACTGACCTCTGGAGCTTGCAGCAGAACAGCAGAGCAGTCACTGTGCATTTACCTGTCATAAGTCTTTATCTCTTTGAGTCATTACTTCTCTGTGTATCCAGGGGCGCCTCTCTCCAATCATAAAATGATTTGTGCTGAATAAAGTAGCTCACAATTCATATAGAAACAGACTCAAGAATATACAACAGATCAATTTATGCCTACTAACTAAATAAATCTGTTTTATAAAATCTGTTTTATAGAAGCAATATTGCTGAAAGTACTATTTGAATAATGTGCTTCAACATTCACTGTATTCTCATTCTGCGTATCCTGAATGGTGGTAAGAAAAAATTCCAGGAATTTAAAAATTATTTAGCTCCATAAAATAAACATTTAACATGTTTTTAGAAGTAGTTGTTCTTTCAAAACTGTCACATGAGTGTCTATACTATCTAAAGAGTATGTCACTGTTGTCATGTGTTTGTCCGGGAATTACTTTGCAAGTTATTGTTAGTCAGTCACAACGATACTTGCAAAAACAGGTATGATAAAGTTGATATGCTCAGTATTTACAGCACTTTTTCTATTTTTCCTGAGATTTCCAGAAGTGTTAAACCTAAATATTTGTGTTTTACTTTCGATTTAAACAGATCAAACTTTAAACACTTCTAAAGGTCTCTTGGGGATTTTCTTAAGCTCAAATGCTCTGTGTTGTCCAAAAATGTTTCTGAAGCAGTAGTAAAACAACTATTCCCCTGACTCTTTTGTAGTTTGTATAGAGACTAGGGAAATGTATTCAGATTCCTTGAACATTTCCAGATTTTACCACTGAACAGCCATATACCTCTAAGTATTTTGTTGTGATTTTATGTGACAGGCCAATATAATGGAGAGCATTTTTGTGACTGAGAAACAAAATGATACATGATTTTTCTCATTTAAAATGTATCAGGTATATTTGCATTTAGTTCCCCTGAAACAGGTTATTTCTGGAGTCAAATTATTGTATTTATCTTAGGTATATGAAAAAGTCTCAAATTGTTCAAGGGGAATAGTAACTTTTTCAAAACAATGTACTTTGTGCTTTGAAGAACATTCTTTGCATTTTCATTTGTAACCTCTGCTGGACTTGTATTCTTATTTTACGCTTACAAGTAAAGCAAACATGTAAGTAAATAAAACAATGTATAAAGAAATTGATTAAAACTTTCACATGGAATTACATTTTTTGGAATGAAGGGATTTTTTATTGCATCTTTTGACCCTTTCACAAAATATTGTACTCAAAAACAAGGTACAGGCAGCATTTTCTGTGAAGCACTAAAAGGCCAGACCCTCACTTTATACAAAACTGTGTCTTTATTTGCTCATTCATTATCTTCTATTATGCTGACAGAACATTGAGTTTCCTATCTCCATTAGCAAATTATTGGATCCCTTTTCAGTTCATAATGTTAGTCTTGTAGTTAAGGAGCAGGCTATAAAAATTTAAATGCAAAGTCACAGTGTGGAATCCATACCTTAAGTAATACTGTACGCTAACAAAGCTGAGCTCCCATCAATAGCAAAATCACTTGGTGTTGCACACTTTTCTCCAAAGCATTCTCATGTCTGTGCTCTTTAGTTTAAATCCAGACGAGTTGCAGTTTCTCAAAGGAACTGAAGAAGTTTAAGCGATTTGATTTGAACACAATTTGCTGAGTTCCAGGTGACTTTACTCTCTGGAGGCAGAAAACTACTGTGCACAGGCTGCTGCCTGTGCAGCTCTGAGAATTGAATTAACGTGTCTGCTGACAGTACAGTAACCCAATCCACTGATATGAGACTCACTGTCTGAGCTTTTGCGTGAGACTCGTCCATTGTTTCCTTTAGAGCAGAGGGACGCAGCTTGTCACCAGCTCAGAGAGTCAGAAGTAAAGAGCAGTCATGCTACAAAGATATTTTTAGTTCTACTAAGATTTGCACTACACTGGTGTGTCACAGAGACAGGACCGGTTGGTCTTTGAATCACTTTCTTGGGGTGATTTTTTTTATCAAAGGCGGGCTGGATTTGATATCTTCATGGAACTTCTCATGAATTATAAATGCAGCCTCACTTTAGCTTTGACCTTGCCTGAGCCATCTGTCTTTTTAAATGCTAAAATGCTAACAGAGGGTATCAGTGAGATATCAATGAGCGATCAGAAATCAGAAGAGTGGCATGCTGACCGCAGTGATAAGTTGTCAAGTTGAAAAGACTCAAAAACACAGCACGACAAAACAGAAAAACAAAAACCTTTATGGCAGAAATTGACCTAGGAAAAACAAAATCCAGAAGAGCAACATAAATTTGGTACAGTTTAGAGAGACTGACTGGGAATGTTTTGTTTATATAAGAAGGCTTGGAACAAACAACAATTAAAACGGCCTCTGTCTTGCCTCAGAGGCCAAGATAGATCATGTAATAAAAGATTAATTTTCACTGCATATTTAACTTGGTGCTTTTCTTCTGAAGTGATCCCAGTCAAAGACATTGTTTCCCACACAACACTGTCATTTTCAACATTTGTAATAAATATAAGAGTGTCAGTTTTCATCTGTATCAATTTGTAGTCATTTTTTCATCATCTCACCCATGTTTAGCCAGACTCTTTTTTCTGTTCTTCATTAGCTAACAGGCTTGTTAGACCTCAAACAAACATCTGCTCCCCCAGCTTGCTATTTACACCACCTATTTATATCAATACAGAAAAAAAACCCCACAAAAAATATGATTTTATTCTATTTTGTCATAAGACAGGCGCATCACACAATTATTTTCATCATGATATCAGCAATGTGAACAGCCAGTGAGAAGGTGTTAATAACAAGCCAACATGAGGTGTTAATGAGAGTTCAGCCCTGAAGCCAAAAAACTGACACTTACACTTTCATTCATCACTTTTATAAATAAACATAAGGAAAATTTAAGCTCAAACTCATAAATCTGCTTAGACCTGTGCACATTTTATCTCAGAATAAATTCTTTAAAAAATCAACAGAGGGAAGCATGACGCAGTTTGGGTACATGTTTAATGAAAGGCACTCTTTGCTGGATAAATAAAACATAGCAAATTATGACACTGTACTGTACAATGTTGACACATACAGTAACAGTCTTAACATATTCAGTGCTTTGTAACGTAGTAAAGTGCTAATTACTGAAGTGACCTACTCATGCCACCTTATTGCATTATATTTTCTTAACAGGTACAGCTTTTTCAATGGATGAAGAACACAATGTTCTTCTTTTAGAACCACACATCACCATATTGCATTTCTTAGGATTACAAAGGCATTGACTGAGTTACAATTACATTCACTGACATTTCAGTACAAGCAATATTTATATGAACAAGACACTCACATACATTAAGTTTTCAGTGACAGAAATATTTCATGCATAAATGGTTCCAATTCATGTTTTTCTAATGGAAATTACAAGTCACATGTTATCACAAACCCAGTTAGCTCATTATCATTGTATGACTCTCAATCTCATGTCAAATATATTGTTTCTTATTATAAGTTTAAAATACCATAATAAATTGTCTTTATATATATATATATATATATATATATATATATATATATATATATATATATATATATATAAAATGTTTGTGTGTATGTATGAAATGTTCAGATATGATAATGGAGATTAAGCCTCAGCTTAGCCACTATGCCATGCATTGAAGTACGAGATAAAAAGGCAGATGAAAAAACATACTTAATTTTTTGTTTGTTTGTTTTTGCCCTAACCTAGTCTTGTCACTGTATATACATACATACATATATACACACACACACACACACATATATATATTTGATCTCACATTTCTTGTATACTTAAACACATTTTCCCTGCCAACAATGGATGATGTGAAGCTCCTAAAGTGCTTAAGACATACACAGAAAAACATTTTCAGTGCAATGAAGTGATGCAGTTTTACAATAACAAGTGTTGACATGTTCCATTTACAGTTAAAACCATGTTCATTTGGGCGTGGTGCCAAATTCTAATAAAACCTGTGGATAAAAAAAGCAACTTGTGTTTTTGATCACTAAAACTGCTGCATGCAAATTGTTTGCATGTATGGTGAAGATTAAGCAAGTTTATATTTAAGTTTGCAGGCTAGCTATAATATTAATAGCAGACATGCTACTCTGCCAGCTATTTATCACGCATATATTGTTACATGGAGAGGTGCCGCAGGCTCTACATTTGCACCTATAGACCTGCTGAGAAGACAATGTGTATGCCAATGTCCTATGTTACACCTCCAACACTCGCCTGCCCTTGAACATGCTGCCAAGACCAATCTTGATTTTGCTGAGTATGATAAAGTGTAGACTAACAATGAACTATGTGAGCTCAGATTACTTGATTTGTTTTCATCTAATGGACAAATATGCACTATTTCTGTCTAAGCAAGTCAATTTTTAGGTGAAATGTTGGTCTGTTGTAGAAACCATATCTTGCTGCACCGTGTATTCTCTGAGTTACTGAAGAAGTAGTTGCTGAGTTATGTTAATTGCACTTTGACACATTTACATGCAGACAGACAGCTTGTGTACTGGTTGTCTCACCACATGGTGCCTAATAATACTGTAATCATTTGCACAAGTGTTTCAAGTACAAAAAGATGAGTGAATAAACTGAGTCTGTCTCACTAACACATATGCTTGATTTGAATGTCTATCTTCCTCTGACATTAATAAAAAAAAAACTTATCTTTTTCAGTGCATGCCATTTTTCTCATTTTGCCATGTGCCATTACTTTTGTTGAGAGAAAGGGTACTTCCATACTTGTTAGCAGCTGACATTTTCTGGGCAGCTTCTGCAGCTGCATCCATCACTTGTTTCTCTTCCTGCTCGGTCTCACGGTGATAGAAATAGTTGAAATTGGAGACAATGACAGGGACTGGCAGGGCAATGGTCAGGACACCAGCAATGGCACAGAGGGTGCCGACCATTTTGCCTCCCATTGTAATTGGGCACATGTCCCCATAACCAACAGTGGTCATGGATACCACAGCCCACCAGAAGCCATCAGGGATGCTAACAAACTGCGTCTGGGGTTCATCCACTTCTGCAAAGTAGATGGCACTGGAAAAAAGGATGACTCCTATGAAGAGGAAGAAGATTAGCAGCCCCAGTTCCCTCATGCTGGCTTTTAGGGTTTGACCCAAAATCTGAAGACCTTTTGAGTGGCGGGAGAGCTTAAAAATTCTGAAGACTCTCACAAGTCGAATGATTCTTAGAATTGCCAAGGACATGTTCTGACCTGCATTCATATCTTCGTCCGGCGTTGTGGCCAGCTCGGTTCCCAGGGTGACAAAATAAGGAATTATAGACACAATGTCAATAATATTCATGATGTTATTAAAGAAATCACTCTTACTGGGGCAAACCACAAAACGGACACCAAGCTCAAAGCAGAACCATATAATGCAAATAGTCTCCACAATGAAAAATGGGTCCGTGAGATATGTCCACACAGTTTTAGGGGCAGGGTAAGAGGCAGTTCCGTTGATCATTTGGATGAAACCTGGAGGAAAGTCGCTGTCCTCCCTGAACTCTGGAAGAGTCTCCAGACAGAAAATAAAGATGGAAATAACAATGACCAAGACAGAGACCAGAGCCACAGATTTGGCCGCACTGGAGCTCTCAGGGTATTCGAAGAGGAGCCAGAACTGCCTCTGCAGTTCATTGGTGGGTAAGAGGACTTCAGGTTCTTTAATAAACCCTTCATCTTCACGAAACTGCTCCATTGCTTCATGGCCCAACTCATAGAAAACAATTTCATTAGCAAAAATGTCTAAGGGAACGTTGGCTGGTCTGCGGATTCTCCCTCCTGACTGGTAATAGTAGAGAATCCCATCAAATGACGGACGATTTCTATCAAAAAAATACTCATTCTTCATTGGGTCAAAGTATTGTAATCGCTTCATGGGATCACCCAACAGCGTCTCTGGAAACTTACTCAGGGTACTGAGCTGGGTTTCAAACATCAAGCCAGAAATATTTATGACGACCTTCTCATCTTTCTCCTCCAAGCAGTGCTTTTCGAACAGATCTTCATTCTCATAATAATCCTTTAGCATCTTACTGAAGACACTGTCAGTGGGAGACTCACTGTTTGCCAGGAGCTTCAGACTGGAGATCAGACTGCCACTGCTGGAGTTTGCCTTGGAGGTAAGAGTTGGAGGAGTGGAGGGGGAAAACCCTTCCTGCCCAGACTGACGCTGTCGCCGTCCTCTGCGTGGCGACTGAGGAGGAGAAGCCAGCCGGTGGGCCAGCAAGTTCTGATCAGGAGCCTCTGAGTTGGGTGAGGTCGGGTAACCTGAGTCGCTTGGGTCACCTAGGTTGATGCCAACATCGTCCATGTTTTCAAAATTAACAAGCGGCACCTCCATTGCCTGCTTTGATGCTCGCTATGATGGTCAATCTGGTTCCGGGGACAGAGAAGGAACCTCAACCAGTGCCACGCTGAAGATCGCGCCAGAGCTTCTCTCCTCCTGGTTACCATTCAGGCTGCTGGACACTAGGTTTGGATTCAGGCCTTTGGTTAATCTGTAAAATAGTGTAATAAAGAGAGACATATTAAATTCTTCTTAAGTGGTGCAATCTAGTTTTGTTGATAAGGAGATTTTCTGTCGGCTCCTGTTTGCCTCAGCAAAGAACCTGCCATCTGATACTCTGCACGTACAGTTATTTTTCTGCTTCAATTTCTTTCCAATGACATAAACGAAAACTCACACTCTGCAAGATCAGACGTGAAAGTGCTTACATGCAGCATATGGGGCATTATTGCTGATAATGCGTAGCAAAACTATTTCCTCTGGCAAAACAACTGATCCTCCATCTATGACTGATGCCATAAGCTAATTCAAAATTAAACATTTTTGTTTATATGTTAACATCAATATTTTTTAACCCTAATTTCCATTGTCTATCAGAATTATTCGAGTTCAAAGTAGTTTGTCAGTCAGTTTTACAGCTGTCGTATCTGTTTATCATTCCGTTAGCCAGGTTTGAACAGGTAACTAAATTGTAACATACACCATAAGGCTGCAATTCACTTGACACTGAGGGCCCTTCAAGACTCAAGGAGATTCACATGACTCGGATTCCATTCTCAGCTTAGCAGATAGCATGGCAGTTAAGGGTATAGAGTTAAATCTTATATAAGGAAATTATAGATGATAGATACATAATTATGTGAGCTAAGTATCCCATGTTAGCGACAAAGGGTGAACGAGTCCAAGTGAGAAAACAAAGGACATCACCTAAGAAGTAAGAATCGACATCCTTTGATTGGAGACACTTTCCTGAATGTAGAAAAAAGAATTTCAATTCAGATAGGTTATTATCTGTCACTAGCCTGACATTTACAAAAACAGTTATCACTGTAAGGAAACATAAACATCAGACCTGACTGTCAAAGAGGCACGACATGCATGCAGTGAGGACTCACCCATGTCCCTGGCTCTGCAGAAGTTTCTGTGCCCTCTTTGTCCTGCCTGCCAGCTCCGCTCTGTTCCCCACTTCCCTCACACTCCCTCATCCAAACTTCCAATCAAGAGTGTCTCTAGCTGTATTAAAGGTCCCACTGAGTAATTTAACACCATGTGCGAAACCAGAGAAGCTGAATACACCCTCACAAACTCACAACTGTACACAACTGATCTCTCACTCTTTCACAAACAGAGATAAACAATAAAACACCCACAAAGGTATCTGACTACACTAAATGTAGGGGTCACCTGGCTTTGTTCTGGCTGCTCCCTCCTCCATCAGTGGGGACATTATAGGTAAGCTCTGTGATAGGAGATTTACTGTGCAGGAGCCAATCGCTGTTTGATGAGGGGAAGGGAGTGTGGGTCCCTCTCACTTGCCTTTTTTCTGCAGACTAAGCATCCTCTTGCAGGATTGAACTATTTTTGTCCTTTTTACACTACTTGTCAATATCTGCAACAACATCTGTTTGCCTGGGGGCTTCAGACTGTTTTTCATCTATCCTGATTTGGCACAAACTCTTATTTCATCTGGCATCTGATCTGTTTCTGTGTTTTCTTCTAATCCTTACACAGAAATCCTTCATTTTTTATTAACAAGTGCAAGGTCCAGTTTCATATATAACATTTGTACATACTTTTACTTAAATTTGCAAAGTGTTGAGGAATGATTTTTCAAGCTCATATTTGTTTATAAAGCTAATAAAGTCAAGAGTTAAACTAAACTGCACAGATTTTAAGATCGTATCCTCAGAGGGTGATGAAGGTCTCTTCAACCATTAAAAAATTAAATCCATTATTTAGATTGCTGTTCTTTGTATTTTTTTTTTTCATACAAAGTTTTTCCAAGGATTTAAACTTTTAATTAAAGTTTTCCTAAAACTTTTTCAGAAGGGTGACCAAGTTGGTTAGACAGGTTGAGTGTTGTGTTTCCTGATTGAATACCACTGCTCTAATGCTAGATATCCTCTGTGCACATGGCTGTCATCCTGCTGCAGCCTGCAGCTGGCTGTCTGCTGGTCCCCTCTAACACTGCGGTACGAGCAGGACCACTGCAGACTCTCTCAGGGACGCAGCTTCAAGGTCACAGAGAACTTGACAGTCTCTGCGGTGTCCCCATTCATCACCACACACTATCACCTCGTTATGTGTCGTCACGGTAACATCATGCATCCATGAATTTAAATTTCAACTTTGTGCTAAAGCAACTGAACCAAGGAAAGCCCATGCATATGAAGAGATGTGGGGATGTGCATCTGCTCAGACAAGCAGTAATTGCTGACTCGATATTCTTCACATGCATAGGCCTTCTCATAAGCTCCTGCATTGCCCGCCACGAGAACAAACCCAGTCGAGGCATGACCTGCCACTAAAACACTTCATTATCGAATTTGCTACACCCAGAAACAGAGGCAGGAAGATCGACATCGATGGGGGTGGGATCACAGACTGCACGAGTCAGATCAAAAGTAAATAATCAATCCCCTCCACTGCAAAATGATTTGTGACAGTAAAAGTGAGAAAGGGGAGGTCTAGAGATGAGATATGAACTCTAGGATGACGTAGACTGCAGTTACTGCATTGTTACTCTTCTCAGGGGAACTCATGGTGTACCAGAGCGATTTACGCCCCTCCCTCCACCCTTCCATGTAGCCCTCCATCTATCATCCATTCCTCCGCCCTTCCTGATGACACTATCACCTTACCGACAAACAATCTGTGTTGACAAAGCAATTCTCCATCAGCAGGCTTATTTGTGAACTACACTGGTGCTGCATCAGTAGAAACACCTTCAGCACACCTTCGCAGATGTTCGACTTTGAGCCGCTCCTGGTACAAACGGTGACCTCTGGCCAGAAGAGGAAAATTCTAACTTTAACATTGAAGAGAAAAAAAAAAAAAAAAACCTCCAGATATTTTTGGAATAGAAGAGAAAACTACACTGATGTAATTTTGCTGGCTATTTAACAACAATTTAGTTCTTTCAATACATAATAATGATAAGAAATGCCTTTCATAATTATTTTAAGCTAAAATTTACCTTCTGTTTATATTGATTGTCCCATCTGTTTTGAAAATTTGTCTTTAAGGTAATATTTTCTTCCTAGTATTCTGTTGCAAAGCAAAAGCATAATTTATTGAACACATTTTTTTTTAATTGCTTTAGATTGGAAAAGCTCAGCTTTCAGTCTGCAGAGAAAACAAAGATATTAAATGACTAAGACGAGGCATGTCCTGTAACAAAAGTAACTGGAGCTAGTGAACTACTTAAAATAGTTTCTTAAATTTGAAAAAGTAAAAAATAAATGATCATTATCTCCTTATATTCATATGTTGCTCCGTTCAGAGCTTTTCCAACATAACTTCATGTGAAGGGTGAAAATTTGACACAGATCAGTTGAAGTACATTGAAGTGAACAAAAAATCTCTGTAAGACTCTGCAGAACTGCAGACTCAGAAAGAAATCCTCACAGGTGCATCACTGGGATGGATTTCCATTCTTTTAGTCTTTTTAATGGTTATTTGTTTTGTTTGTAAGTAGTATTTTTGTCTGCTAGTCATGAGAATTTTATTCAGGTTTAGAGCTCATCCAGGTATCTTTTTCTATCAGAGGTCCCCCATCTTTATTTACAATTACAAAATGACACATTTATGCAGAATATGACTCTTTTGCTTACAGTTTGTGATATGATACACTTAGAAAGAGTCCCACCTTGTGATATTGTGACAATATTATGACATCAGGGTTTCTGTCTGCTGGCAACAGAATTTCAGTAGATCCTTTGCTCGGTGTGTGTAGGGTTGTGCCTGAGTTTCTTTTGCTTTTTTTCTTACTGAAGTCATCCAAGTATTTGGAACATCTAAAATCATCTGTGTCTTTAAACTGTGGAAGGGTTGACCTGCAGACATCAGGGGGCCCTCAATCAGGAAGCCCATATTCTTTAGGCACTCTGGCACTGTTTTCTGTGACTTTGATCAGAAATTACAATGTGATCTAAGTAAGGTGAGAGGTGAGGTACACCCTGGACAAGTCACCCGTTGATTGCAGGGGGAAACAGAGACAGATAAAAACAAATAGCCATAATTCACACCTAATGGTAATTTAGAGATACCAAATAACCTAACAGTCATGGTTTTGAACTATGGGAGGAAGAAGGAGTACCCAGAGAGAAGCCACAAATGCACATGGAGAACATGCAAACTCCATGAAAGGAGACCCCAGGCAAGGATTCAAATCCAGGATCTTCTTATTGCGAGGCAACAGTGCTACCAACTGCACCACTGTGCCGCCACAATGGTAGAGCATTTGCCTCATATATAGAGCCTAATTGGCCTACAGCTGTCTGAACAGCTCATCTTGTGCACATGATCTGGGTAATTCAATCTCAAAAGCCCAAACGCTCATCTATTAAGGATGACAGGATTTCAAAGAGCACGTAAGGTAGCACGGATTAGATATTCCAGACTCGTAATCTTATAGCCGCTGTAAAGGCAACTGGTTATTCCAGTCTAGTAATCCTATATATCACTCCAGGGGTTCTCTTCATTACGTAGCATGGGTCAGGAAAATACAAGGGCATAAGAACTTTGGTATTAAAACCAACCCACACCACTTAACTGTTAAAAAAGCAAAACACTCACCTTAATTGGAATCTTCTAAGAGTAACAACAATACTAACAATGGATTTAGCTTTCTGTGGATTTGAGGCCATAAAGAGAAAACAGGGTTAAGGGCTTTATTTTTCACATTAATATATAGGAAATATTTGGTTCTTCTTTAGCCAGAGGGGTAGAATAGAAACAAAACTATGCAATATTAATATTTATATTCAATATCGAAAGTTTGAGCTAAAAAGTAAAACAAAGAGAGAAAGATTTAGAAAAGCAGAACTATTTTTGACTGCTTCATGGGTTTAAGCAGTTCACCTTGTGATTGCAGTGCTCTCTTTTTTATAAACAACAATAAAATGTATTGTACTATAATAATATATGCAAAACAAGAGAAGAATATGTTCTTACAATGTTATATTAAGCATAAAAGCTGTCATTGAATGATAAAAACAGTTTATTAGATAAAATCAATAAATGATCTAAAACAGGGCACAAAAAACTCAGCGTCTTTAAAACAACACAGTTACAGGATATAAGCTATCTGCAAACTTAATTCACAGTCTAAAGTTTGCAAATTACCTTCTCTCCTTCTCTTTCCTCTTTAGTAACGGGCCTAATGCCTTAATAGAGAAATACAATCCTAAAATTAACGTGACAAGGTGGGATCATAAAAAAAACATGTTCTCTCTCTGGGAGTGTTGTGGGCTCAGTAACGGTGTGTTACCTAACATCATGCGTAAAGTGTGCTGGAATTTACTCCTATGACTTCACTGCATCCTTACAGGAAGTGTCATTGCAACGAGAAGGCTGGTCACAATCTTCCCATCAAGATGTCTAGTTGGCTTTTTAGACATTTACGATATATTTGGGAAAAAAATAATACAAAAAAAAAATAATAAAAACAAGTTGTAGTAAATTTCAGGAGCTCTAGCAAATTCATTGACATACTTTATAGTACAAAAGCAAAAGGAAAACCTAACAGAACAACTGTGTAGGAGTACAAATAAAACATTAACCACATGTAGGTGAATTATTTACCCCATGATAACAAATCAATTTACAGAGCAGTAAAATTTAAAAATGAAACTAAAAGCATTTCCAATAAGAGAATGTTTTCTGAAAATACCAAGTAAAGCTTGTTCAAATATTTTAACAGCTAATCAGTGTCCAGCTGTCACTTAGTTCATATCGCAAACAATCTTGATGTCCCTCCCTGCAGGTGGTGGTCCCATGTGTAGCAGGCTTACTGATTTTTGGGCAGAGTCTGGCACCAAAAGATGCATGCCAGTAACCTTTCTTAAGAGTGATCTTCCTGATTCAGTGAGGCTCACCAATAAATATGATCTTATATCAGTGAGTGGCCAAAGTTAGTTTCTTTCCACAGGAAGAAGCCTTAGAGATTATCTGAGGAGTTCTGTCATCCTGGATGGGGCCACGTCCCACAAGGAGGAGACCCCAGCACAGACCCAGAACTTGCTGGAGGAACCAAATAAACCTTATGACCTGGAAATGTCTTAAGAACCCTTGAATTAGCTAGAAGATGTTGTTGGGGAGAGATCTCAGCATTTCATTTCTGGACTTATCTTATAAACCTGTCTTTGAGAAGACAATGCCTGGATGGACGGACGGACGGACGGACGGACGGACGGACGGACGGGCGGACGGACGGATGGACGGACGGATGGATGGAGTTACCCATAAATATAGAAACATTTTTATTTATAGTAAATGTTCTGATCTTTATAAGTAAAATGCTTTAATTATGGTCTAACAATCTGGAGTGTCATTGATGGAGCCGCCTGTGCGGGAGAGGATGACTTTACTTAAGAGTATTATATATCACAGGAAATCAGCTCTGCAGGTCACCCACATGGTCATATACCGTAAACAGAATCATACAG